ATGAACATTGGTTTATATTAACTGTCATAACTTCAATGTAAATAGATGTTCTTGTTTTTAATAAAGGATTCAAGAAGCAGTGGGTTTCTAGTCTCCTTAGAAATTGCCAGAGGTGGTACAAATGCTACTTTGTTACTGTTCTTAAGTAGTTTTTTTTTTTTTTCATGTATCTGTACTTACGTATTTATTTACTTACTTTTACTTTAACTCCCTACATTTTTACACAAAACAGGCTCTCTACTTTAGTTTTAATGCATTTCAGGAGAGGGATGCTGATTATTATTTGCATCATTGCACACCTTCCCAACATCAGGACCGGTGGATATCACACATCAAAGACATAACGTGACGAAAATTATGTAACAAGACAAAACAGACAAGAGAGGGAGACTCGACCCTGTTTGAAGTTTCCAGTTAGCTTTTCACAGAAACAACCAGGAGAAATGTCCTTCAGAGAAACCAAGAGAGTACTTTTATACTTACTATATTTCAGAGCCCGTACTTTTTCACTCTTACTTGAGCAAAAAAGTTGAATCAGTATTTCTACTTGAGCAGGAAACTGCCAAGGAATATTTAGCACCTGTCTCTTTCAGATCGTCCTCTCGTTTAGTCAGACCCTCTTGACGATCACACATGAGCCCAAACACCACTTAAGATTCCAGTCATCATTCCTCCTCTCACCCGTAACACCACTTTCCTTTCATTGCACCCGGGACTACAACTTCACACTTCTACTTCTGCCATATGTCTGCCTGACATCTAGGCTGAGTCAAGCAGTCATGATCTGCCTTATCAGTGTTTGTCGCTACCTCTGCTGCTCCTTTTAGCATGTAGATCTCTTCTGAGCACCGTTACACGATAGCTGTTTGGCTTCTAGATGTGACTCTGTACTCTGTGACCCCCCGTTTTTACCGGAAGCTCTTCTGGAAGTCACAGAGCCTATTGTGGTCAGGGATTTTTCAGCTATCATGACTGCCCATTGCTGCACTGTGCCTATTCATCAGCTCGGTGTCTCGGTCCTAACGTTGGGTCAACATGACTCAGCCATTAGCGCTGTCCTGGCAGAGCACTCACGCGCCAGCAGCACTGAAATGTATCCGTGTGTACACCCACTGGCCTATCTTTAAAGGTTGGTGAGTAAGCAGTTATTTGATGCGTGTAAGCACTTGCAGTGCCCACGTCGCCTGTAAACAAGATTTTTCAGTGGCTGCACAAGAAAAAGTCTAATATTTTGTCTGGTTTCAGCGTGTGAATGAATAAGAAGGGATGCGACCCCTTTTGAAAAGTGAGATACATGACTCAGTTTTGCAAGGTCAGCTTCCGATTGAGGAAGTCTTTTTATTTTTATAGTATAAGATTGTGAGCTTGTGACTGATATAATCAGGCGGTATCTGTTTATCTACGTAATAGAAGGTTTGTTTTTTGTTTAAAACAAAGTGCAGACAGAAGGCTAAACTTACTGATCCCCCTGACCCTTTTTTCCATATTTTAATACTCTATCTCTGACCATCAGGTGACAGGAAAAAGGCTCGGAGGAGAGACAGAATAACAGGAAGAGAAACCAGAAATAAGAGGAGGGGAGCAAAAAGACAAAACTGTGTTAGTTATTCTCTGTATTGTCTCAGATTCTGTGAATTTGATCTTAACCAGATGCTGTTACAACAGACAATAGAAAGTATGTTTGTCAGTACTAGGGGAAGATAGAGGGGCATTTATCTTCCGCCGGTGTCATGTTTTATCTTTCACACTTTCAGACTGTATGTAAATTATAATTAGATTCATGGGAGGTATTTTTAACCCCTGATCTCTTCCTCTTTTTGTGTTGCTTGTTCTTTTCACACCTTCCTTAAGACTCCCCCCATTACTAACAGCAGCTAATAAACAGGTCTGAACTTGAACTGGTCTGAACAATGAACTGAAGTTGCTGTGTCATAGCAAAGGGCAACATTGTAGTAATTTTAGATGGGTCACAAATGCCAGGAAACACTTCCCAGACTGAAGTTTACCACACGTTTGATAAATAAAATAAAATGTCTGTCCAGTGTTTCAGGTAAAATGAGGTCTGAGCCCTACTGATGCATTTCGTCTAATAATTTTGTCACTAACGGCCCCTGGAGTCATTTAACACTTTTTTCGTAAGCTGCAGTTTCCATGACGACTGGGATTATTGAATAGGCAACAGTATTCCACTGTGACTCACTTTCTCTTCAGACCACAGTCATTCTTACACGGGGAGATGTACAGCATGAATTGTCTTTGAGGAGTTAAAGAAAATCACTCCCCCTTCCTCTTGAGAAACTCTGCTGGTGGAAAATATGGGTGGAGTGTGCAGCAGTGCAGTCACAGTCACCCTTCATTGCACCAGTTGAGTCCCTGGACAGGGCTGTGTATTCTCACGGGGGGACGCGGTAATGCCACAGCTCATTATCTCGCTGGCCTCAAGGCTGGTAATTTGGTCATCCGTGGATATTTTTTGTGTGAGCTCATTGCATAAGCAGATTTTCACTAGTCCTTTTTATTGTTCTGAGGATAAAGCTCCACACATGCCAACGTTATTCAGTTATTTACTGTACATCTCCATAGTAACAGTCTTTTAGTCATTTTGGCCTTTCGTGAATGTGACATAAGCTTTGTCTAAGGCTGTGAACAAGAACATTCACACAGGGGTGATATGTTTTGTATTCAAAGGGATCTATTTATATATTTTTGATTGGATAACCAGCAGTAGTCCTTACTGTAATGTTATATATGTTTAATGTTATATATCGTAGGTGTGGGCAAGTGTTACTTTCCCAGCTTTTTTGCAACAAATCTGTTAACGCCATCCATCCAACTACAGCTGTTGTCACACACTTAGCACACAGTGGTTACTTGAATCTGACTACATTTTGCAATTGCATGTGCTTTTATGCAAATGTAATTGCCATATAACAAACTGGCTCTAATCAGCAGTCTAAGGATAGAAAGTGTTGGAAGCAGTGCAGATTGTAAAAGCCCTCTGGATAAAATATATGCTTGGTTTTACATGACAGAAACAACTATCCTTGTAAAACTGTGAGAATTAGGCTTTGTATGCCTGAAGAAAATATCACTGTAAAAATGTAATTGAACTGATTATTGACATCATCAGAATTCCAGAAGATATTGTGAATGTTTTTGCCCATATTGCCCACCCCCTAAGATCTGTTAATCTAATATGTTTCTATTTTTTCCTCGTTTAATGAAGCGCTAATGACAGAAATAGACCAATTAACATAATCGGTGAAACCAAATGAGCTCAAGTTTTCCAAAAACCCCCGTTGTTACCACATGTTTGAATTAACCACACTAGGTATTACAAGAAGGAAGTGAAAATACACTTTAATGTTGAAAACGGCACACAAACTTTTTCATTCAGTTTTAAATTTGAAATTCCTAAATATAATAGAGACTGCTTTATAATACTTCCTCTAATGTATCTTGTGGTCATGCACATTATACATGGCATACATGCCCACACACCAATCTTTATTGCAAAATAATTGCAAATATAACACAACTTAGCTTCGCTCCTGCTTCATACATTCAAATACTGACTTGCACATTTGATAACCTCCTCAGTTTGCATGTGAACATGGTCTCAGGGGGAGTTACTGCAATAATCCCGTCAGCTGTTTTTAGTGAATTTGTGTGAGAAATAAATAAAGTTAAGCCTATTGCTTGAAGGGGATAATGGTGAGTGTTAACTCTTCTGTTTCAATCACACCAGCAGCAGCTAGAGGACCCGTCAACATACTGACTGACTTTTTCACATCAACTGGGGCTGTCAGACAATATATGCACACTCAGGCTCCATCTAGGATGCAAACAAACTTGTTCCTATGTGTTTGCTGGGAGATTGGAGATTTTTTTCCATACACATTATGAGTGTATCCTGTTATACTGCAACTCTCGAATATTACGGGCTGGGTCAGGAAAACAGTATGGAGAGGTCACAGTCTCTGTGTGTGTGTGTGTGTGTGTGTGTGTGTGTGTGTGTGTGTGTGTGTGTGTGTGTGTGTGTTTCATGATCAGGAATGTGTGATGTCACTCAACCAAAACAGAGGGGGGCACAGGGACTGTAAATAGTCCCCTCAACCACAAGAAAAACACACCCATACCGTGGTTACAGCATAGATTGTTTGTGAGATGCGAGAAACTTTACAAAGTTAATTCAGAGTGCCAGGTTACATTTATCTATCCATGCTGGTTTATCAAAATACAAACAAAACAGGTATTGTTTTGCATCAAAGTATGTTTTCAAAGCAAGATATTGCTGTGAACATTTCAGGTGCCAACTTAAAACACTCTCGCCTTCCTACGTATCCCAAAATAATTACCCATCCCGCATTTGCTTTACTTCTCTTACCATGATTAAACCCAGGAGGAGTAAAACACTTATATAACACTGTAAAAACACTCTGCATGGAAAGGTACATGTAAGTTACTCTATTATTTGCGAAATGCATTTAGACTATGAAAAGTTCACATTGCCCCTGTAAGTGTTAAAATATTATTTAAATATAAATATTGCATTAAAGTTGGTGGAGCCAACTTTTCATACTGTAGATAGATAGTTTAATGTTTTATAAGCATGTTTTTTGCAGGCTCTGTAAAACCTTAATAAAGTAGCTTACTAGTATAACTGTCACATACATTGTGGAGTAAATATTTCCTTCTGAATTGAAGAGATCTATAAAGTCGAAGCACTCAAAGTAACTACCTCCATTTTTATTTTTATTAATAAATGTCATTTTCCACCGCTGTCCACTGTAAAAACCTTATACTCCCAGCTCAGCCCTTTAATTTTATGACTTAAAGTAAAATGCTAAAGCTTTTTTTTTTTTTTTTTCTTCCTTACTCAAGCAGACACGTCTGAGTCAAATAGCTCTAGATATTTTTAAAACGACACAGGATGCAAGGGGGGCAGTTTATAAACTGAACAGAGCTGACGAATATCTGCCCACAGGTCCGCCTATTTTAAGACAAGCGGACACAGTTAAACTAACGCTACTGTGAGATTAATCAGAGCAACTTTTTACTTGTTGTTGAATGTCAGCGCTGTACCTTTAAAAACAAACCGTTCCCTGTTCGTAGTCCCAACTGACGACCGGTGGCCACGTACGGCCGCGCGCTCCAACGGTTATCCCACGGTTTGGCCGTTAACCGTTGACTACTTTTACCGGTTAAACGTCGCGACATTAACGACACATTAGTTTTATTTTAACTGCTTTCACTTTCTAGACAAGAAGTGGACTGTGGGAGTGGGAGGGGGGGTAAAGTTTTGAATGAAGGTCCCCCGCTGGGACTGTAAAGCGGGAGGAGGGGGCAGTTTGCGGGGTCGTCCGGGCTATCGGATCTGGGATCTGCTCACATTTATAACCAGACAGACGGCGGCTTGTTCGGGGTAGAGCTGAGCGGGACGGACGGGCAGGCTCACCGAGAGGGGGACGCGGAGTTTTAAACTTTTAATCATTTACCCGGACTATAAAAAGAAGAAGTGGAAAGTTTGGAATAACAGAAAAGTTTTGTTTTTTTTATATCCCTGGGTCTGGACCCCGGTCTCCTGTCAGGACTACGAGCTGCTGGACTGTAAGCTACTCATTCACTCTGGAAGTATCACTCTTTTACGGATTGTGATTCAGACTTTAGCCTTTAAATATAAACTTCTAACTTTACTTCATTGAAGCAGACACGTAAAGTCGATATGGATAAGTACGAGGATTTAGGACTCGAGGCGAGTAAGTTTATCGAGGACCTGAACATGTATGAAGCATCCAGGGATGGTTTATTTCGGACGCGGAGGGATGCGGGAAATAACCCCGACTTTGAAGAGACGAGAAAAGTTTTTGCCTCTAAAATGACTAAAATACACATGCAGAAACACCAAGAGGAGATGGCAAAAAACAACCAGGCCATAAAAATGAATGGGGGCCACAACAGCACGCATTACACCAAGGACAGACCACCCATCAATAGCTACAGACAGCCGGGTGAAGCGGCGGCGAAGCCCCCGATACTCTCTGGCCCTGTGCCGGGCACCACGGCTGGGAATCAGTACGCACCGTTTGACGGCCAGAAACACACAGGCATTCAGTCTGAACTTCCAGCCGGCAGGGCATATGGCTACGGAAACAATTACGATAATAAGGAGCGCTTAGAGCCACATTCATACCAGCACACCGCCCCTACTCTCCCCAGCCCAGGAAACGCGTCTCATAGCGCGCCTGCACATGCTCGCCACCCTGTCACCCAGCCGGCTGCTTGGGCCCCATCCAGTGAGAACCAGCTTCCCCCATCTCTGCCTGGGTCTGTGAGCAGCAGTGCATCTCAGCAGCAACCCCAGTACCCACCTGCGTCCCCCACCGCCAACAGTCTTCCACCTCAGCAGAATCAGGCTGTCACCCCGTCTGTAAACCGTAGTCCCCCCTCCTCTGCTGGTCCAGCCAGGGGATGGGCTGGAGAGCCCTCTGGCTCAGCGAAACCAGACCTCATCCCTGCCCTGCCTCTGAGTGCCTTCACAGGAGGAGCTGACCTCCGCACGCAGCAGCCCTCACAGTCTGCGGCCCATTACACACCACCTTCTCCCACCTCAAGACCCTCTACCAACCATAATGGTCCCATGTCAGCTTCCTCGCTTCTACCCGCACCTTCTGAGACACCTCAACCGAAAGCCCAGGTGAAATCTGCTGCCCAGATCCCTGGCACTGTATCCAAAAGCAGCAGCCAGGTTCAAGGTCAGAGCCAATTACCCAGCTGTGGACAGGCCTCCAGAGCTGAAGCTGAAGTCCCATGCTCCTCCAAGCCTGTCCAACTACTCTGCCAGTCTCTCCTCACGCAACCTCCTGAACAGGGGCCTTCAGCAGCCGAAATGAAATTAGAGGCCCTAACTAAACGGCTGGAAAAAGAGATGGATGCCCAACCAAAAGCTGACTACTTTGGTAAGACAGATTAGACTATCCAGCATCAACAAGGGGCTTATGTCCGTTAGGCCACTGCTGTAAAAACCCACTGAAATGACAGAACCATCCACCCACAGTTCAGAACACGAATGCACTTGTTTTTGATTTACACGCGCACACACTGTCACCCTTTGTCATCCTCCGTCTGTGTTTCCCTTGTGTGTTTCTGTGGCCTAATCAGGAGTGCGACCCAATTGTCATATGCCTTTGTTTGATGGCATTCTGGTGGTCTCTGCTGATAAAATAGCTGAACTTATTAGGCAGACACTGTGGGAGGCCTCTCCCTTTCTTCTGTGGAATGCAGACAGAATAATTTTCTAATTTGTTTCATGTCATTTGTTAAATGATTCATTGTCTGCCCTCTTGGCAACTGCAACAAACTCTTTGCTAGTAAAAGGTGGCGCCAAGGCCAGAAAGGAGAATGTTGCTCTCTTTATCTCCTCCTAGAGATTTAATTGATTATTACTGATTAGCATTGCCAACTTAACTCATTAGTCAGACCTCAATTAAGTCTGTGATTGTTTTAACGTTCCACCCCATGTTCAGTTTTATTGACTGACAGTGGCATTCATGTTTTTCAAATGATGTCATAACTACAGACCTGTGCTTGCACATTTCTCATGACTCTCTTTGTGAGCATGCCGTGCATGCTCGTGCAGTTGATGAACACGTGTGCACAGGGAAAATGGTAATGAAAAACAACAGCTGTGACTGACTGATAGTTGTGGCATTTGGGTGCACATTTTTAATTAAGACAACGTGTGTTTTATCTTGGAAAACACTTCTTGCTTGTTGACTTGGCCTCATCTATTCTTACGTTTGTTGGAATTTCATATATTTTAAATATATTATATTGTTTTCTATTCATGAAAAAGAGAAGTTAAATCTTGCAACTAAGATTATAATCAATACACAGGGCAATTGGCTGAGAAATAGAGACAGGCATGGTTGTTGAAGAATGTCCATCATCAGCAGATTACTGTAGTTTCTATTCCTCATATCACTGCTTGTAGCACTTCAGCTGCTCTATCTGGACTGTTGGAGCGCTATCAGGAAATTAATGCATCATTGGAAAAACAGATGCTTTGCTGTGAGGTCAGCTGACAGGCTTTTGTCCCAAATTCAGATACAGTACAGATATATACTGTATGGTGCTGGGAGTGTGTGTTTGTGTTGCAGAGAGAGCCAGTAATCACGTGGTGGCCAGGTGTTCAGAGCCAAGGCCATTCATGAAAACGGGATGTCCCGCTACACAGTGAGAGAAAGAGAGTGCGAGATGGGGCAGATATCGTGTTCGAAGCCAAAGAGCACCCCCATTATCCACACACACACACACACACACACACACAGACACACACACACACAGAGCCCACCCTTGCCTCTTTGCTGAAGGAATTTCCTGCTGGAATGTCACGATTGTAATTCACAGCCTTCCTCTGCCCCCTGATGTGCTTGTAGTTGTGTGTAAGGGAAGATGTTCTGGCATACGTCACGGTCACGACGAGGCTCATAAATAGCACACAGACGTGAATATTATGGATGTGTGGGAGAGCACACTGTGCAATCGGCAGAAGTGTAGGTTTTGAAGTAATACAGTATATGTCCTTTTTCCATACACATTCACATAGCCCACACACGGTTCCTGTATGGAGTTTCCCACTAGACCATGGCTCATTCTCTGAGTCATGCTTTCATGCCAGAAAAAAACCTTGTGTAGGCTAGATTTCTTCACAAAAGTTTTGTCCTGCACATACGTAGCATATATGATGTTTGCAGACTTTTTAAGTAACTTAAATGTTTCTATCAGCCTGACTGGACTGAATATAATGTACTTTGAAAAGTCCCCGCCTTTCCCATGGCGTTGTTTAACTGATCCAGTGGGCTGTGTCCATCCATATACAGAGCTGGGCTCCATCAGACTTCCCAACCGTGCACCGAGTGCTGATTGGCATAATTGCAGCTGGAGATTCTGGGAAAATGAATCCGGTGCCAAAACGGCTGCACCGGGGGAACACTGAGGAATGTCTGAAGGAAGAGAACAAGGAATTTTAGAAATGAAGTCTTAAGATACAAAGGGGAGGGGGGTCCCAGATGAGTTTAGAGGTGCCTGCGGTGCAGCTGAATACATGAGTAGACAAACAGAGAGATTTAGGGACAAGTTCGTGGATGCTTCTTTGTCCTTGACCACAAGAACTTGAGAGGATGTAAGATTTATAGACAAGTTCATCCAAGAGGGGAGAAGTGGTGGGACACCCCAGTGTTCTGCCTTCCCCCTTCCTCAGACTTTCACACACACGCACACACACACACACACACACACACACACACACACACACACACACACACACACACACACACACAGTTGAACGTTTAGTGTTGTGTTAAGATGGAGGATTAATTTATCCCATCTGGCTGTTGAGTGGAAACCTTCTTCTTAACTCTTCCCAGGGATTCTTGGCTTCTACTCTGGCAGGCTATTGAAGGCGGACTTTTTATGTGTGTGTGTGTGTGTGTGTGTGTGTGTGTGTGTGTGTGTGTGTGTGTGTGTGTGTGTGTATGAGTGTGAATGTGAATGTGATATCCTCTCACGCATGACTATGTGTCTGTTAGTCTATGATATATATGGCCTGCGGTATTTGACTGAATTTAATATGCTCTGTCACTTCTGGGTGTGGTGTCTGTGTGTGTTATGGTGAAATAATGCCATAGGTGACACAGCATCCAGGACATTTCAGTGAATGAGAGTGTAATGTACATACTTTTGCTGCTTTCAAAGTTTGAATTATATAATGTGGTGGATGTGGTAATTAAACCATGGACTCTCCTAACATTTTTAGAGAGAAAAAATCTTTCATTGCTCAGTCTACCTAAAAATCTGAATACCTGGCGTTTATTGGAGAAGTGATAACACTACTCACACTACTACTCCAAGCTGCCAGCTACAATAGGCAGACTGCACAGTACTGTCCACCAATCTGAGTCAGTTGTAAAACTTTAAAGGCACATTTTGCCAAAGAGATGGCATGAAAACTAGTTAGCAAGCGAGCAGAGAAGTCAAGATTGGTAAAAGTAATGGATACATGGTTTTAATAGTAAGCTGAAAGTAATGGATAAACATTTGAGCTGATCAGATAGGGAGGTTGGGGTAGATCAAACAAAACAAAGCTTGGGTCCCACTGCTATAGCAGACAGCTCCATCTATTAGAAGTTTTGTATACTCACTGAATGAGATGTTGATGCTCATACTGTTTCTAGTTTTAAAGTCAAGGTTTTATCATGCTGTGGATGTGTAATAGATGAATCTAAAATCTTGGGTCTGACTGTGTAAGTGTTACCACTCAGTAGCTGCTACAATGTGTTGCAAGGGTTGCTCATTTTCAGCCAGTGGCATATTGGCCAGCAAGCAGCCATCTACTGGGAGTTTTGACAGCTGGGAAAGGTGAGGGAGGGTAGGAGGGGTGAAGTTTTGGCGGCTTGTTTTGCTTCCCCTCCCCCCATTTGAAGCAAGCAGTGAGTCCCCTGAATAATAACACTGTTTTGGAACATGGGACTCTAGCCAAAAGTAGATTTGTAGTGGCCCAACCTGCAACGAGGTTACTACGAAAATAAGGAATTTTTGGTTCCCAACAGGAAAAGAAAGGAGAGAATGGACTTTTATTGCATTTTTGTTCTCATGGGGCATACAATTCAGAACTATAAAAAATTTAAAGGGAAAATGTCCTTGGCCCAGTGTCAGATCTTGAAAAAGTCCTGCAAAAGCACTGTGTACTTGTATGTGTACAGTGTTCCTGAGAATCTCATTCTTGCTTGTCCTGTGACATGAATTGTTTGAGGTCAACATTCATAGAAGAAAAGCAGAGAATGGAATTTAAAGGGCCTTCACTCATTCATTTAAGTAGTTTGAGGGCATGACTACTTTATTGTGTTTTCATGTAAACAAAATAGCTTACATAAGAGCAACATTCTTCAGCTTTCTAATAATATCCCTCTATTATCTCTAAATCTTCTTTCCAGCCGTTGGGGCCCCCTGATGATGTGTCCTCTGTTGTGGCATTAGGAGAGGCTTAAGTTGAATTATATATAGCCCAGTTGTATATTACTGAAAGCCTATGAAGAGAACCATTTGAAGAAGGTTATTAAATAACAGTGTGTTTTTGGAGGAGGCAGCCGCGTGATGTGTGTTGGATACAGTGGAAACAGAAGTTTCTTTGTCAGTGTAGGACCAGGCTGGGCCGGGCTGGGCTGGGCTGGGCCGGGCCATGCTCTTCTGCTGAGCTCTATTTCTCTGTCTCCAGGGAGTTTTTCTATCAAAACACACACACACACACACACACACACACACACACACACACACAAATAACTTCATGCACATACCCTCACACTGAAGGGGAAGCTTGGGGTCTTTCTTTCATTCAGCATCAATGCCATCACCCCTTCTGTTAGGGTTACTTTAACTTAATACTTCATGATTGGATAGTCGTATCGTACCGTATCTGATTGATTTAGCAGCTAGCTGACTGCCCATTAGGGTTAGCAGTAATGAGAGTTGTCACTTGTCATAGTCTATATGTCAGTTGTCATATCACGGCGTGTCATAAGCTGCAGACTCAGAGGGAGAGATGGAGATGGAGAGGCAAGAAACTGTAGCTTTGAAAGATAATATTTTCATGGCATGGCTCAGTGTGTGTGGAGTTAGCAACGCCAGATAAAAAGTTGTTATATATTGATCACACGGAAACCCTGTGTTGTTCATGAGCTGTCCAAAGTCGAAGGAGGGATTATGTAATATTGCCTGACATACACTTATGTGATTGGCATTTTTAAATGCCTGAACTGATATTCTATAACAAGGAGAGAAAACTCTTGCTTTCATCTGTTTTGGGCTTTTATCTTTATTTCTGCTTTCTTTTTCTTTTTTCTTGTTGACATTTTTGTTTTTCTGCGCATACTTTGCAAATCTAGTTTGAATGTGTGGATGGATTAATATCTAGTAGACTCCAGTGTTTTGATATCAGGCCACATTGACTATGTATGTTGTGAGGGCAGGAACATTTTGAAATATCAAATACTTTAATTAACAGACTTCTCAGTCTCTGAGCCAAGTCAAACAAGCAAATGGGGATATATCCCCTTTCACTAATAAAGCCCTGTTAACCAGCTTCCTGACTTTTGTGAAGTGACTTTTTTCTCTGTTTCTGTTGTTTTTTTCTAGTTTAATCTGGATCATAGCCTACACAACTCTTTACTCATTTTTGTCTGAATATAATAAACTAACTGTCTTAATTTGTATCTCAGATTTAATATTTGATTGATGTCTGTGACTACATCAGTGTGTGTGTTGCATTAATCTAATTGTGACTTAAATGTGTATCTTTCTGTGTCTTTTCTGACTTCTGACTCATACGCTGTGTTGTGTTGCAGGAGTCTGCGTTAAGTGCAACAAGGCGGTGTATGGAGCCAACCAGGCCTGCCAAGCTATGGGTAGTCTCTACCATGACAGCTGCTTCACCTGCAGTGCCTGTAGTAAGTAGATACACATACACAGCATACCTTCACGTCTATTGCTCCCATTCAAGCACTTTCACTTTCTCTCCTCGGTCGATTCACAGTTAAAGCTCATTTTGCTGCCTGACTAACAGGCTGCCAAAGACCCTGTTCTCCTGAATTAAAAGTAGTACCTTCCTCTTCGGTCGCTCACTGGGCCGAGCAAAAACACACAATTATTTGGGGATTACTATCCTGTACTGCTGGTGTTTGGTTTCTGGGTGTGCCAGTCACTCCTCCAGCCCACACAAAGACACACAGTAAGACTTTCTGCCGACCTAGTTCATCCATCAGTCAATAAAATAACTTTAAGTATATATTAATACTCGCATTCCATGTCTTGTGCAAACTGAAAATCATTAACTTTAAAACCCAAAACACGCTTGAGAAAAGCAAGATTAAGAAGTGTCAGCGTACTTCTTACACTTGTAATGAAGCAATAATGGCTTCTCGCATCTTGTACTGGTTAGCTACAGGGCTTATTTGTCTTAAAATGCATTTACAATGACTTCAAAGACGATGAAAATTTTGGTTCTTTGGTTGTGTTGTTTTGGTTTTAATCGCATGAGACAGATGCACTTTTAACTTTTAAGGGACAATGAGTTTAAAGAAACTACACGTGTTGGAACAGTTAACATGAAAAAATATATTGGACAAGTTCCATCAAGTTTTCACTGCTCGAAAGTGAACTTTCTACAGGGGATCTATCCATCTGTTGTGTCAGTGTGACCTGTGTATTGTGTGTCAGTGGGACACTCGCTGCACTGGCCAGGTTTTTTTCTTTTACCATTGGTCAGTTTACCTTACCAATTAGGTATAGCCAGTTATCAGTTGAGGTTCATCACCCCGGCTGCACTGTTCCATGTATGTGTGACTTGTAGCTTCCTGGCTGCACAGCGGTGCACTTCCATTGCCAATGTATGACCAGGCTCTCCGCTCCAACCAATTAAATGTGTGGCACTGCAGCGACCTCTACTCAGGCCCATTATTCTGCAGCACCTTTGACCTTGCTGGTCATGCCCCCAAATGTATGATTAACATCTCTGTGTTTTCTTCTACCCTTGTGTTTTTACATGTGTATATGTGTGTGTGTGTGTGTGTGTGTGTGTGTGTGTGTGTGTGTGAGAGAGAGAGAGAGCGAGAGAGCTAGTAGATGAAAAAGAGGCTCAGAGTGAAACTGATGTCTGAAGTAGGGGGGGAGAGGAGTTTACACACCACATACCTCTCATAGCTTGCTCCATGTGAGGGCATAAGGGTTGTGATGGCTGTGAGTGGCCCCAGGGAAAAGCATCTCAGCTGGGGAGGAATGCAGGCACAGGGGCCTTCAGTAGGTCTGGCTCCAGGAAGACACTGGGTGATGTTATGTCAGCTGGGCACAACAAGATCAGAGTACAGCGCAGGACAGGGAGACCTTTCAGTGGGAGCACGCCACCCACCACACACAGCCGGCATGCAGGGGTACACTGGTACAAACACATGCATATGTACCCACACAGCAAACAGCAAGATGCAGTAAAATGCACACTGCCTATATATTAGACATCCCTTCTTATCTTCTCATCCCATAATCTGTATCTCAAGACAACTGTCATGCTTGTTAAGTTGCATAACAAGTCTTTATGTCTGTGAACTTCCTCCCATGCCCTCACTCCACCAGTTCCCCCAAGGTGACTGAGAGGCAAGAGAACATTCCTTCTGGCTGGGAGAGCTGCATGTCTGAGATCCAGTACTTCACTGCAGGGGGCTTCCCTCCGGGCTAACCATTGACTGTTAGCAAACAGTTAACGGTCCAAACCAATTCCTGTTGGCGATTAAGCCCAAATCTGTAATCAGGGGAGCTGGTTTACACAGTAAACAACTCAAATAATCTGTGGAAATCTTAGAAAAGAAACAAACAATTATTGTCCTGTATTTTTCCCAGTTTATACATATGAAGAATTAAATGCTGGTAGGAATGACTCCACAACTATATGTGATGTCAACGGCAGCAGTGCAAGGTGTGATATGTTTGTAAGAAACAGCGGTTTCACAATATCAGCTTCCTTCTCCCGGCCCATCGGCAGGCTTTGGAGAATACAAACAAGGATCTGATTGGTGCTGAATTCATTGGTATGTTAACATCTGGTGGGTAGATTGTCAGGACCTTGACCAAATGTTCCAGGTGCTGCTCAAAGTCAGAGAAATGCATTCAGACTAAGGGGAAAGACTTCTTGTAAATGCACGTTTCTCTGTCAATTAAACTTACGTAGATATCTTAAGCAGGGCAGGAAATTACTTCAGTTGAGACTGAATCTCAGAGTAAACCGTCTCTAAATGTGAAATCGGTAAAAAAGGAGATGTGGCTTTTTTTGCTGAAATGTCTCACTTGAGTAATTTACTCACAGGAAAAAACAAGGTTGAGGCTCAATTAGGAAGTCACGGCAGGGTCATTGTGAATTTCTTATTTTCTGAATGGGATTACATAAGGGAATTCATAGAATGTTTTAATTAGAAAATGGCCTTGTGTTTTGTTCTGTCCCTCAGGTATTTTACATTTTTATGAAAGTGCAATGGTCACAGTTCTTTTTGGTGCTTTTCAAATAGTCAGCCCTGTCTCCTGACTTTAATTAAGCTCTTATCTTTCCACAAAGCTCAGAGCCTTCCCTCTCTGACTCACTAAGAAAAAAAAGAAGCCAGGAATGTGAAGAGGAGGAATGGCCCATATCTCACTTTCATCCCCTTCATCCTTCTCTCCTTCCTCTAGGGACAGAGTTCCAAGACTGTCTGTCAGTAATTACCCAAGGCCAGTTCCACACCTTGGCCCCATTGAAAGGACTGGTCTACTTCTAAGTTAGTTATTGTGTGAGCCTTCGCCAGACCTTGGTTGCTGCGTGATCATTATTATTCTGTTAAAGTAAGATAATGTAATTGTGAAAAACTGGTTCAAAGAATTTCACGTGCCATTGATAAAAAAAGATAAATCATGAGGTTTCAGTTTATTTTTTCTTTGTTCTTTCCCTTGTATTCTTCGTGTAATTCAGTCTCATCGTAGGACAACAGCGTTCATTGCTTTCTTTGACCCTTCCAGACAGTCAAATTTCAAATTTCTTCAGATTTTCTAGGATTCTAGATAATAGTAAGATCAAACTCTTTAGCTAAGTGCTTTTTCTCCCCTACTACACTAAAATAGTAATTTGCTTCCCTTTGTAGGTTGATTGCACTGAAGTCCTAGGGGTAAAATATGATTTAAAAAAAACCTCTATTACCAGAAATAAATGGGCTTATAGTAATAATAATAATATATTGTGATATAGTAAACTTTGTGGAAAAGCAATTGATAAACAACCAGACAGTAATGTCTTTTAACTAAAGTATTCAGTAAATTGAATCCATGAAAAATCAGTTCTTCATCATGTGATGCAAAAATCATCATCAGTAATTCACCTTGCAACATTGCCCTTGATTGCTTCATACTGTCAGAGGTATTAAATTACACAATAAAAAGGGCATGGCAGAACAATGGACAATACGTCATCTCACAGTAAATACTGTCATACTGCCCACATATAAACTATGTCCAATTCAGTGCTGACTAGTTGATGTGTTGTCCATGTTTTCCAGAAATCAGTCTCAAGAAAACCCTATATTTAAAATGTCCCGCACTGGGGCTATGCCTCCTATGTCTTAAGAATGAAACCATGCAATTCCTAGCGGCAAAATGACTGTGTGAAACTATCTGGATACAAGTAATTACGTAAACAGAGTGTGAGATGGAGCATGGGAGATAAAGAAGGCTCCTGTTCACCAAGGTTAACCCCTCCTCTCCCCTGCTGTCCCCTCCCTCACCTTCCCACTCAGAAAATGTGAGGAATGTTCTTCTTCCTGTGGGACCTGGACAGGAATAGGTATGTGAAGTTTGCAAAGAGGGTTTTTTTGTGTGTGTGTGTGTGTGTGTGTGTGTGTGTGTATGTGGGAGAGAGAGAGAGAGAGAGAGAGAGAGAGAGAGAGAGAGAGAGAATGTTTGTCCTGCTAAAAGAAGCCAGATCCAGACCATAGAACTATTAAAGCACACAGACAGACAGGAAGCACACGCAGCTTGTGGAAAGACACCAGAAAGGAACAAAGAAGAAGAATAGCAGGTTGTTGTTGGTCTTGGCTTCTGGTTGCCATGAAATCCAATAGAGCAGCATATTTAATCTGTTGCACCTGTCTAGTAATTGGATTTAATCAGCATTTTCCCCACATGTGTTTGATCCAGATGTGTTCCTTGTCCTACTGAAGCCCGCTCCGTGTCCCAGCAATATTATATTAAGACAGCAGCACACCATAGATCCGTTGTTTGATTTATCTGCCTGGGATTCAGCAGGATATAATGAATATTGCAAGAGGGTCCATTACCTTCCAATGGGTGTAATTAATCACCACGGTCTTTATGCATTAGTGCTGTAACTATTTTCTGAGACTGGGCTCATGGCTTTGCAAGATTTTCCACCAAGACATTTCAACATTCAGTCATTGACTTACCTTTCCTCGTCTGCTTTAATCTACTTATTGTTATTCAATAATAAATAAAAACTTTTTCCTGGAGTCAGAGGTGCAGGCCCTGCTGTGTATTGCTTGAGTGAAATGATACAAATTGACTTTTCTCTCTGTCTGTTTCTGCAGGTCGAAGGCTGAGAGGGAAGGCGTTCTACTATGTCGGAGGGAAGGTTTTCTGTGAAGAGGACTTTCTGGTGAGCGGTCAATAGCAATAAATATCTAGTATACCTCAACTGAGGTATGTGGTCCTGTAACCTTTGTTGACTTCAAAAATGCATTAGGTAAAGATAACACACAGTAACACACAGTAACTTTCTCATACTGACTTGTATTCACATTCACCCAGTCCACATCTCCATTGTTTCAAGTTTGACAAATCTGTCTGTATTTAGGATTAACTAGGGGTGATCACCTTATCCTTAAATACCCTCATCAGGTGTACTTACACACTTACAAAATGTCAGTTAGAGACTTTGACCTTGTGGCCCCGTTTTTAGCATCTAATGCAGCCGATTCATATCAGTTTCCTCCCTTGGGTGGGACTGGAAGGAGGTCGGTAACTTGAGAAGCTGCTTTGCTATGGTTTATAGGGTGGAGGGCAGTCCAGCCATTCACACTGCGTGCGCTTTGCACAGAGGGACAATGTGCATAATCATAGGATGAGCATTAAACACAATTTAAACCCCTCTGCAATATTTGTTGTAATTTCCAGTACTCATGTTCTAGCCGGTGTGCATGTTGTGTTTTCATATTTTTTGTTTGCTTTTCCCCCAACTCTTCCCTGTATTCACACTGTCAGTAGCTCAGTGCGTGTTTACCCCAGGAGCACTGTCAGTATAAAACCTCATCTAATTGCCTTTCCACCAAAACCTCTTAATTGCTCAATTAAAATCAAAATTTATACTGAATTAAATTTGCTCTGGCTCTGCTCCCTCTATGTGCTGTTAATTACGCCTGCTCTTCTGCCAGGCCTGTTGGCGTGGCTTCTCCTCACTGACAGTGCTCATACATAATAACACATAATAAAGCTGAGCTGACTGATTCAGATATTGTATGAGTGAAATTCCAATCTCAGGAACACACATTTACTTTGAAAGACTCTCTAAAAATGTGTTCAGTATTCCATTCACGAAAGGGGTGATTTTAAGTAGTTTTAAGGAGGGGTTTTAGCACCACTACACATGCTAAACCTAATATGCGACTCTGGATTGTGCCTGGGAGACATTGTGGAATTGCTTAGTGCTCAGTCTGAAACAGAGAGTCGGAGATTTCAGTCATCCATTAAATAACCAAATTCCACTGACATCACTGTCGTCTTTTCTCTGTCTGTTGAAGTACTCCGGTTTCCAGCAGTCTGCCGACAAGTGCAACGCATGTGGACATCTGATCATGGACATGGTGAGTGTCTGTTACTTCTCTCCAGCTGTGTGTACTTTTGTGTGTTTGTGTGTGTGGGACAGAGCCAGGTGATCTCAGCAGAAACTTAGTTACTTCACCCTAAATGAGCTTTCTGTGGGCACATCTGGATAAAGACTCAGGAAGCATTTTCTCTGCATGTGCGACTCTCTGTCTCACTCTCTCTCTCTCTCTCTCTCTCTCTCTCTCTCTCTTTCTCTTTCTCCCACACACATACACACAAACAGTCTCATGGGTAAAAACAAAACAGACACACACACACAATATATGCTTGAGTCCGGAAGTGTCGCAGCATATGAAATATTTTGCTACACATTAGTCTACACATGTTCTCTATCCAGCAGACAAAGATGGAGGAGGTGTTTTTTTTGCGCTGGCTTATCTGCACATTTAACATGCTGTATCTCACAGCACTTAATCACTGAGACTGTATTTTGTATGTTGTTTATGATATGTACATATTTAACATGCAACGTAACATCTGCCCCTATCTTAAATTCAGAAAAGACATAGTATGTTTATTTAATAAATAGTGTAACTGTTATATAATCATCTTGAGTACTCTGGCTGGGCTTATTCTTAGCTTTGCCCTATTCTCAGCTGCTGTTACAACCCAATAGGCCCACAGGGATCATTAAAAATTAATCTAATCTAAAGTAAAAGCTTTTTTAAGAATTATGAGTATTTTAATTTTATTTTTATACAAATAGGTAGGAAATGTGAAACAGCAGCAGCAGAATGAAATAGAGTATTGATATCCTGCTTTTCTTCACTCATGTCTTTCTTCATAGATCCTGCAGGCTCTCGGGAAGTCGTACCACCCCGGCTGTTTCCGCTGTGTCATCTGTAATGAGAGCCTTGATGGAGTGCCCTTCACTGTGGACACTGAAAATAAGATCTACTGTCTCAAAGACTACCACAGGTGAGTGGCATTTGCTGCACATTATTTTAAAGAAACACAAACGCATGACCTGGATTTATCTGTGTTAAATTAGTTTAGCATGACAATGGAAAAAATGTCTAGGTGTCATATTACAAGTTAAATGACACACAGGGCTTCTGACATCTGAGTGCAAAATCAAGGTTTTGTGTGTGAGAGAAACACTGATAGTGCAGTAGAAGTTATCAACAGCAGCATCTGTAGCACATCAACAGTTACAGCCTTTCTTCTCTCTGCTGGGACAGTTTGTACTGCACAGCCAGGCACATGGCTGTTCACCGTCTGCCATCTCCCACGTGTCCTCTGCGCTGATTAAATCAGACAAACCTTATTGTGTATACAGTATGTGTTTGACTTTTAGCCACAGTCATGCCCATCCACACTGAGAGGCCCTTTGTTATTCCCTCAGACATCCAGGTGCCAGCCATGTGTGTGGAAATAATGAATTCATTTTGGCTTTTTGTTTTTCCTATTCCTTTTTGGATTTGGGGGATCACGTGAGGGGAAAGCCAGCACATCTGTAAACCTGGCATCTGCTTAGTCGAATCAGGATCTTAATCTAGTCAGAGTCATATGGGAGAGAGGGGCAGGCCTGACAGGTTTAAAGGTTGGGAGAAGGGCATCAAATATAAACTATTATCTTTATAGTTTTTGGATAGAGTAAATTTAAATTCATACAAATCTATTGAAAACATGTTTCTGTATGCATCTCTCTTTCCCAGGGTCCTGGCGCCTAAATGTGCAGCCTGTAACCAGCCCATCCTGCCTTCAGAGGTAAGCTAACACTCCAGATCATGTTCAGATATTATCATACATTGTCTCTCTACATTATCATATTTTGACTAAATTCTCATATCAAGGTAGAGATGACAGACACAGACATCCTTGTACCACAGCCACAAATACCTTACTTCTCAGTTTACAAGTGATTGTGGTAACTTAAACTATCAAGAGACACACAGTACAAACTTTAAATACACTCAGTGGTTGTTGTTGATTAAGGCACAGGTTGTATGTTTGGTTAGGTTAGGGAGCGTCAACATGAAATCCAGCACAATGTGAATGATTCAGCTTTACTGCATCTTCAACCACCAGGAACTCAGCAGATTATAAAACCCTTATCTGCTCGTGTTTACACAGTTATGACCCAAACACAGAACTTAGCTGTGCAAGTAGCAGATAGTTCAATATAGCCATATTTCCCACTAGATTTCAGGTCAAAACACTGTGAGGCCTAATATCTCCGAGGTTTGATTAGATGTGGGGTCGAGAGCGGATGGATAGCGGGGAGAAGCACGGTTCACACACACACACACACACACACACACACACACACACACACACACACACACACACACACACACACACGCGCAGGAAATGCTGCCAAAAGCAAAGAAATGTCCAAAATTAGAGTTGACTTTGCTGGAATGTCCCCTGCCCTCCCCTTTGACTAAGCAGTGAGGCCGGTATTTAGAGGAGAGGTAGTGTGTGTTTGAGTGTGTGTGTATTGGGGGTAGGGGGCTTAGTCTGTCTTGTGCATTTATGTAAGCTGTTGTGCGGATGTTCAGGGGAGTTCCCTCACAGGCTGATATTGTAACCAGAGAAAGATGACTGTGACAGAAACAGCTCCTGTCCCTGTGGACATGAATTATCAGCAGGACAAAGAGCACACACACAACCTGAGATACAGGATCTTTGTACACATTTGTAAATGATTTGCTACAATCTCTGTCTCCTTGCAGCTGTATTTCTGTCTATATCCACGTATGCCAGAATGATTTTTAAGCTCTGTTTTGTTACGAGTGTGACTTCTTGATTTTCAATGGTAAATTCAGAAAATATAATATTGAAGCTTCAGGGTTGTAATGCAGAGGAGTACTTTAAAGTCAGCTCTTGGCTGGCATCAGTGTGTGCACGCTTTTTATCGATCTTTTGAAGCTTTTGTCAGGCTGAACAGAATAAAACAGCACAGTGTCTCCTGGCGAGATTGGCTTGAGTTACGTTTGACTGTCTGAATTGTTTTCCAGGGGTCTGATGAAACCATTCGAGTTGTATCTATGGACAAAGACTATCATGTGGAATGCTATCACTGCGAGGTGGGTTATAAACACGTCACATCTCTCTGTTCCAAAACTAAAAATGAAGCTTTGCATTTGACAACACGCATGTTTTAATGGCTCTGAGCCAGGGACGCTCTGAATGTCTCGTTAAGAGAAATCATTATGAGTAGATCCCCGATCTTAATTACAGCCTTGGCGGTAATTATATACTGCTTAGGAGAGCAGGTATGCAACACCTCATCATCCCTATCTTATCATTTTACTCAAGTGGCGTCTTTATTTTTTGCCAAAGTCTGATTGACAGCTGCTGTTCTTTCACTTAATGAAAATAAGAATCGGTGGGCTGTGAGAAGCAGCTCCCCGTTAAAGAAGTGTTTAACTATTGAGTTGCTGCGTCCTTCTGGTGCATTTTTTTAATCTTTCAAGCTGTTCAAAGAGCAGCATCTTGACATTAGAATTCTGTCTTTGTAAACAGATTTCTTTCTTGAAACTGGAAGCCATAAGGCAGATAAAGGAATCCTTCATCAACCAGAGTTTTTTTTTCTTCTCTCAGTATGCACAGATTTTAGATTTGCTAATAATGAGAAGTTTTCTTTTTTGTAAATGTAGAAATTAACCTCTTCTAAATGCTGCATATCCACACTTCCACAGCCCAATCTTTGAATGGCAGGAAATAAGGCTAATGTGGGGCAGAAGTCAGACTAATTATCTTGTATTCCCTATATTTAAACTCACGTAACCTTTCACTGGATGTGTCTCATCCTTGTTCCTCCTTTGTGTTGTCCAGGAATGTAAGATGGAGCTAAACGACGAGGAGGGTCACCGCTGCTACCCTCTGAATGGCCACCTTCTCTGCCACTCCTGCCATCTGAAGAACATTGAGCCAGGCTCCTCTTCCATTGCCACTGCTGCCTCCTACTAACACTACTGTAGGGGGAGGGAGACACCTGGTGCATATATGGAGGAACTGCCAAAGAGTGACTGACAGGAGTGGATATGCACAATTCTTGTTGTAGAGGATTGATTAATGCAGTGCATCAGATCATACTGTGGTTTGATATGTCTTTTCACAGGAATGTTGATGAAGTTTCCATTATGTCTAAAGAGGTTTTGACCCATTAATGAAGTATTGTAGTACACCAAAGCTCTACTTTGAATGCAGAGAAGCATTGTGCTATACTGGCTGCATACTGACTTGGCAGATGTTGCCATATGATATCTTTTAAATGTAAATATCAGTTGCATTGGCTGTGTAAATATCACACTTCTGCTCAGTTCAGAAATTGATCCATAAATCATCCGTCTAAAGGTTTCTAATAAGGGTTTTCGCAGAATGTGCTAGATGCCTATTGTGCCTTCACATCAGTTTCTACATGCAATAACAACAGCTGGTGTTTATTTACATAGAAATTAACAAATTGGTGTTCAACATTATTTGACAAAGTCAAAGCATAACAGTAATTCCTTCTTTCCTCAGTTTTTAACCAGTGTTACCACTGAGTAGAAAGTGTTCCTTCTTTTCCAGCTGATAACCAGAGCCATCATTGTTGTTCATAATATTCAAATTCCAGTATGCAATAAATTATATAAAATAATACACAACAAATATGAACACAACCATTCCATAGAAATGCTAAACAATGCCATTATCCTCGAGGTTGCTATGTTAATGTGCTTAGGGCTTACCATTTCACATTTTTATGACTTTTCTTATTTGATGCAAGAAAGAATCAGAGAGCCAGGTTTTACTCTTCTGTAATAAACTGCCATTATTTGTCACATGCAATCTGCTCTCAGCACTTAGAGACAGGCTTGTGAGTTTTCTATGCACCTATGAAGAGGTTGATACTAGGCCTGTAGATCTGTGTTTTGTTACATTTGCAAGCATTGTATATTTAAAAACAGATATATTGTAGGCCTATATTCATTTACTTTTGTTTCATTTTGACTTTTGTGCAGAACCCCTTAAATACTAATTTGATTTGCAGTGGGAAGTGCAGTTTTGATTGCCTACTTTACCATCCATATATTATTCACGTCTTGAGTTAACTAACTTAATACTTAAGTTGCTTGTCATTTGAGGTCCTTATTTCATAGCCAGCTGTAGTTACGACAAAGATCAAACATATACATATGTGTTGTATGATTGTTGTAAAGAAAGTATTTAATAAATGCATTGCAATAGGCCAAACTTTCTTTTTTAATTTTAATTTAATCTTTTAATTTTTTTTACTGTAGAAAGGGATACATTCATTAGCAAGTCATATGATATCTTGCTTTAGGAGATGAAGACAATTCAATATCTATTTCATGGTATTTTTACAGCTGCTTAATATTAACACAGGCATTATTTGATCAATGGGTCCACAGTGTACTTCATGCATCAATACTCTTCATTCAGTTGTGGCCCTGCAAACACAGAAATAGTGCTCAACTTGCAGAATAATAACACACATTTCCAACTTTCCAGCTTGGCAGTGGTTGCCTATATGTTACCCGTATGGTACCCTCAGTGATCCAGTAATAGCTGCTGAAGTGATGTGCTGCTGTTTGGTAAACTACAATAACTGATCTGATCACGCGTTATCCATCGCGCCACTGGTCCGGATGACAGCACAGGTCACGTGTTCTTCTAAAAAAGTAACTGAAGCGTTTAATAATAACTTCTGAACCGCGGATGATGGCTTCTTTCTAGGAAAACACGTCGCTTGTTAGATATTATTTAGAGACTAAACCTTCTCAAAGCTAATGATCTAAAATCACAACAAGAAAGAAAGTCGACCCCCGTTGGCCGCAATACCCTCATTGGTCAGCAGGTGTCGCGGTTGAACACTGATATCCATCATGCAGTGCATGATACACCCTGGTCCTTCACAGCTCGTTATGATTCTGTATAAATATGTATGTCCGCAACTAAAATTACATTGAACTATGAGGTGGGCCCAGAGGCAAACAAATTACATTATATGATGCTGAAAAAGATACTAAATATGACAAATATGAAGCTTATTGTTATTTATCTACATAGTTCAATTCCTGTCTCTGTGTAGATTTTAAAAGATTTTTGAGGGAAGTTGTTGTAATGATTTAACTAAATAATGAGATGAAGAATAAGAAATTAAAACACAGAATCACCCAAACCCATTTTATACTTGGTAATGTAGACAAGACAAATGACAGGTTTTTACTAAAGCGAGCTGTGTACAGTGATGGGACCGGTAGCTTTAATGTAATGTAGCTACTGAAAGTGTCTGGGAAGGTCAAGGAAAATATTTATGACACACTTATAATGGTCTTGTGACAGCCAATGTCAAAACCAACCACACAGTATAATGTAATGTTAACACATGAAGCTAAATAGGCCTGCTGTGGCATGTTGTCTTTGTTAATGTGAAGTTGTCATAACACAGACAGCTCAAACAATGTTGACTTTGCATCAAAAATGACATAACTGACCAAATGACACTTAATGGCAACATTTATAAACATTCATAAAGACTCATGACAGGTGTCGTGTCAGTCTTATTCACACCCTTCAAATAAAGTGTTACCTCAGCCTTTTCATTGGCCATCGCTGACAGATTGATTCAATCTATAAATAATAAGAACCTAATTTAAGACATAAACAAAAACTAAGCTATCACTATTGTAGAGAAGGAGATGGGACAGCAGGTTTAAACTAATACTAATACTAGTATACCTGCTGTGACACCATTGCCTGGGCTGTAGACAGGAATGCAACATATTTTAACTATTAAATATGAGTACATTCACAAGAGACCATTACTCTGCAGAATACATACATACATACACACTACCAGTGTAGCCAATGAACAGCCAGATGACTTCATCTGTCCTGGGTAGAAGCGTTGGTTTTATCTTCAGATACGGAAACATGTAAATAGCAGTCTGATGTACAGTCAGTTACTCTATGGTATACTTGCTGTATAAAATATTTGGGACACTAAATTCAAACTTGTATCAAAGATTGAAAGGTTGTACTGTGTCTGCTTCTTTTTAAAATCAAAATCTCATTAGTGACTAAATGTTCAAAGAAAATTCAGATTTCAGATTCTTTCTTTCTTTCTTTCTTTTTTCAGAACTTTTTGTTGTAAATCTAAAGCCACTCAGAATAATCCAAAGCACCAAATCAATGGTTCATATTGAGTAAAATGAATGGAAAGGTGAGTGGGAAGGAGAAAAGCTGTCTGACCGAGTTATAGAGATAAATAAAAAAAAAGGTGGAGACATGTCCTCTTTTGCGAAATATAAGGCAAACAATGACAATTACGAACAACACCTCATTCATTCATCGACAGTGAATTCATTTGCTTCTGCTAATCAGTCACACATTACACTGGCTGCTCTCTGTTCCACACAATAAAAAACTAATAATTATAATTCATTCCCTGGACCGGGCGGTGGATTAATCGAGCGCACTCACATACCTCTGTAACCCCGCCCCCTTCGGTTAACTCCCCCAGTGACGACAGCAGAGTCCTCCCAATGCGGGGGCTCTGTGGATGGGCACTGGCTGCACCGTGGAGGAAAACGTGCATTCATCCCGTGTGGTGTGTCAGTGTCAGTGACAAACGAACCGACCCGAGCTGCTCCTATCGGCGTCGCATCAGCACCAGCACCGGACCGACGGAGGGTTTCGTGGAGGAAATGTGTCATGCATGCACGCCTTAATGTGTGTGTGCAGATATTTGGAGTGTTTTTTTCCCCCGAGGATTTAAAAGTGGACCGCTGCTGATGCTGGCACACTGAGGCTGGGCTGTGACTTCTGACTGGCTGCATTGTTGCATATGTTTCCTGGGATGGGATAACCCCCACCCCCCCCACCCCCCCACTTCCTCGTTCATCAAAGGGATAATTGATCATTATTTTCGCTCTCCATGGTGCTTGAAGGGTAAGCAAAAAAAACCCCGAGCTGTCAGTGCATTGTTTATTTTTCTCAAATCATCACCGCGTGGATGCTTGCATGCCTTTTGTTTTTCATTGCATTGGTTCCTGTTCTCTGTGTGTATGTCCGCTGCAAACCTACCGGTGCTGCACGGCATGTTTACTCATTTTATAACAAAACAAAAAAAAACCACTAACAAAAAAGCAAAACTGGTGCATTTTTCTCAGTGCAGAATTGATTTTTCTTTTTTTTTTTTTGGTGAAGCTATTTGGCAACAAAAACATCCCGGGTCTCTGCCTCCTGTCTTAGCAGAGAGATGGACGGGATCGGGAACACCATGCAGAAGAAGGCTGCAGAGCTGGAGCGGCTGGCCGAGGTGCTCGTCACCGGAGAACAGCTGAGGTATGTCGGTCAGAAATGCCCGCTGACCCTGGGTATGCTGCGGGTCAGACGTTGAGGGGAAAGCTGGGGCAGGATCATCCGCAAACCGACCACCAAAATGCAATTGCAATCACGAACGAATCCACTGGATGATGAGTAGAAACACTCCTTGTTTAATTAGTTTTCATGCTCCATCCTGTGTGTCTTTCTGTGGCCCAGATCAGGATGAACGAGGACATGACAGGACATGACACATTAATGAGAAAAGTGGGTGTTGTAGGCATGACAGCAGATTAATGATCATGCATGTGGCTCGCTGCAAACTGACAGCACAGGCAGTGTCAGCCCTACTGCAGCATGCGGAGCCAAACAAAGGCGTTCACACATGCACAGCCCTCCCTGAGCACACTGCTGCAGGATCCTGTTTTGCTTTTACAGTTTTTAGGACTCAACACATGAGTAGTTTTTGTTGCTCTGGTAATACAGTGCCCTTTGAGCTGCAGAGGGAATGATCAACCTACTAACCCATTATCATTATCATGCCCTTCCCGTTCATCCTATCAGGCAACTGTACTGCTAGCCTTGGCAGTGTTGTTGACATGCTGTACCCTTTGACCTACTGTCTGTGAAGAAAGGCCCCATAACCCAGGGGCGTTTGTTGGCTCACGCTCCCGGCAATGAATAGAGGCTCACTAGGTAAAGCATGGCATCAATGCCTGGAATTTCAGCCCCCCACTGAACTACGAGGAAAATACGCCACTGAATTGTGTTTTTCCAGCTGGGTGGGATGAACTGAGTTAGAGTTTTTGTTGTTTGTTAAGAAGTAAACACTGTGATATCGTCTTGTCCTCTTCTGAAGAACCATAAAAGTAACAGTTACAACCTCAAGAGATTAATAGATGTACTCCTTTTTTTGTTATCTTGCTTAGCAGCAGAGTGTGTTTTCCTGTTTGTGTGTATGTGTGTGTGTCAGTGTCCCTGGCACAGCTGTATACTGAGGCAGCCAGCTGGCAACGTGACTGGTGTCAGTGAACGAAAGGTTGGTGGGGTGGCTGTCCAAGAGTCCTCTGCCTCTGAGGTTGTGACATACAGGGCCCGACGTCTGTCTGTAAATCTTTATCTTCGTCTTTTTTTTTTTTTTTAAGTTATTTTTTTGGCCTTTTATTGCATTAATTTGATAGATACAGCTGAAGATGGACAGGAAAGGGGAGCGAGGGGATGACACGCAGCAAAGGGCCGCAGGTCGGATTCGAACCCTTGGCCGCTGCAGCAAGCAGCCTCGGTACATGGGTCACCAGCTCTACCCACTGAGCTAACCGGGCGCCCCTATCTTTGTCTTTTTTAACAGTCAGCTTGCAAACTTTTTAAGATAGAAGCTTGGTTTTAGGGACGGTAGTGTAATTCTATTGGTTGGTCCAGACTGAAATACCTTAACATAGGGATGTGAAATTGTTACAACCCAGCTCGAAAAAAAGTCTATAAATCTTATACAAAATGTAAAAGGTGAGGCGAAACCACAAAGGAGACAGGGCGGATTGTGGCTGTTTAAATCAAAGAAGCAAATAAAACCAAAGAAGGATTCAAGGAGCTAAAACTATCTAAAAAAATAATAAATTGAAATACAAGCCTCACTAGCTACTAATACTAACCAAACTAAAAGACCCTTGCACTAGTGTATCTAGACACCATGCAAATTAAATAAAAATAAACTGAATGAAGTGATAATGAATGTAAGAATCAGATTTGGTTTGATGAAGTATAAACTAGCCCAGTCCAACGTTTCAAAGCGAGTACCTCAAGTGCGTCGTCGTGATTGGGTTCCAGAGTGAGTGCTGCTCAAATCATGGTCCTCAGCTCTTGAGAGGCCGGTAGCAGGGAGTTATGTGCACAGGGTGTCGACCGCA